CCAGTAGGTGGTGTGCAGGAGGCAGCCAATCAATGATGTATCCATCTCTCTCTCTCCCTCTCCCTTCCTCTCTGAAACCAGTAACAAACATATTTAAGGAGGTTCATATCTCCAAGGCTGCCACAATCAAGTCTTAAAATGCCAGCCATTTTAAGGGCCCGAGGATTAATCAAGATCCAGAAAGATGAAATGATAAACTAAGCCAGGCCAGCACTAGTGCAAACTCCCACAGGGACACGTCTGCCACCAGGGTTCCTGGCAGGAATATATTTAAATGCAAAGAGAACTACATATATTAACAGTACAATATCATCATATAAACAGTTCCTTTATTTTTTTTATGGTTAAAATAAAAATAATTTTATTTTTTATATTTCTTTAAAAGCATACTTTATGAAAAGAAACACTGGAAATATGGATTCTTTTTGAGAAATAACCTTCATCTTCACTAATAGGTATGGAGGAACCAGAGTTCTATACCAATTAATGGAAAATTAACCATTGATAAGTCTAGTTCCAACCCCTAAAAAAGGACATACACATATGCTAGAACTGATTCAGTCCATTCAGTCAAAACATTTCCACTGCTGAACTATATCTGCTACTGAAACTGTAAGAATGTTCATTTTCCTGGGTGTCCTATTTTGTCAAAAGATTTCGTATTTATTACATTAACTGGCATTTACAAAGAGTGGAGAGACCAGCAACAACACTCCACAGTATGTATGATCTTTCTCTCTTTTTAAATGTTCTCAGTAAACTGTAAAATTTAGCAATTACATTTAGGTTTTCATAACTTGCAGGTGTCTGAGTATTTCTTAATCTGCTTCGTCCCTTCAAAATTCTTTCAATTTTAAACAGAACATTTTTGCTTCTTAGTGCTAATCCTGTAGAATGTTTTTTATGAGCAAATTTTTTAAAATATATTTTTTATTGATTTCAGAGAGGAAGCGAGAGGGAGAGATAGAAACATCAGTGATGAGAGAGAATCATCGATCGGCTGCCTCCTGCACGCCCCCTACTGGGGATAGCGTCTGCAACTCCTGGCATGTGCTCTTGACCGAAAGCGAACCCGGGACCCTTCAGTTGGCAGGCAGACGCTCTATCCACTGAGCAAAACCACCTAGGGCTGTAGAATTTTTAAAAGGGTTGTATGTTTCATACATTTTGAATTAAAATGTCCCCCCCACCCCAAAATAAAACCTATACAGGATCACTCTCCCCTATAAATATTGGCCTTTTCTATGAACCCTATTTCAAATTGAGAGTGGCATTTACATGTCAAGATGTGCAGGCACAAGTTTGTGTAGAACCTGCAACTTCATTATGAAGCTTCCTCAACACAATAGAGGATTTAGTATTTTTACTCTGACCAGTTTAAACAACACAAGGAGGTCGGCACGTTTTAATAAACCTAACGTGTTTCATTGTTCTGAAAACAGTGAGAGTGATGGTGACCCTAGCATTTGATCACCCAGGCTCCTGACTTTATGCTCATTACTGTTGGCTAATTTGATAGTTGCTTGTTCAACATGCACCTCCCAGGGGATGATCAGGTGCTGCAAAAATAGCAAATTCTAGGCAGAAGACTTTGCTTCCATTAGCACTTCTGGTACAAGGGTTAGAGGGGCTTAAAGAGGAGAGTTAGTAGAGACAATAAAATGAAGGAGTGCGTTCCCTGTGGATTTCACCTACTTTGTTAAGACTGGTCCCTCCTTACTGGAGGCTAACGAGGGAGACTAGACCATGACTTGTGGTAGCTGGTGGACACTTTCAAAAACTACAGTGATGTTCTCCAATACTTTTATTATCTCCAGTTTTATGGCACCATATTACTATTATTTTCACACCGTTTAAAATTCCCATTTCCATAATTCAAATACCAAGAAATTACTACACATTCCCGTATACAGTCAAAAATAGATTTACTGGAATGTTTTTAGTTACAGCTGAAGGCAGCAGCATTTACAACACTTAGCTTTTGTTATACCCATAAACGTGGAAATTGCTTGCAAAGCAACTGTAATGTGAGAAGAATCTTCCGAATGTTGATGGAACAGCTACATAGGCTTCCTGACCCCCCACCTTAATGCCAGAGCCCAAGTCCTTAAGCCACGGAAGAAGCAGTCGGAAGTCTCGTATCAGTGTTGAACTACAGACACACATAGTGAATGAGCAAATATCTAGTTTCAAATCAGATCCTTGGAATGTGGCAAAACAGGCTGGCTGTCTTGGCCTTGAACATAATTATTAAAAGCATTTTCATTTTGCTAGAAGGGGAAAAAGATAATGGACATTCTCAATGCTCCAGTTTGAAGTTTTTGAGAAATAACCTTCATCTTCACTAATAGGTATGGAGGAACCAGAGTTCTATACCAATTAATGGAAAATTAACCATTGATAAGTCTAGTTCCAACCCCTAAAAAAGGACATACACATATGCTAGAACTGATTCAGTCCATTCAGTCAAAACATTTCCACTGCTGAACTATATCTGCTACTGAAACTGTAAGAATGTTCATTTTCCTGGGTGTCCTATTTTGTCAAAAGATTTCGTATTTATTACATTAACTGGCATTTACAAAGAGTGGAGAGACCAGCAACAACACTCCACAGTATGTATGATCTTTCTCTCTTTTTAAATGTTCTCAGTAAACTGTAAAATTTAGCAATTACATTTAGGTTTTCATAACTTGCAGGTGTCTGAGTATTTCTTAATCTGCTTCGTCCCTTCAAAATTCTTTCAATTTTAAACAGAACATTTTTGCTTCTTAGTGCTAATCCTGTAGAATGTTTTTTATGAGCAAATTTTTTAAAATATATTTTTTATTGATTTCAGAGAGGAAGCGAGAGGGAGAGATAGAAACATCAGTGATGAGAGAGAATCATCGATCGGCTGCCTCCTGCACGCCCCCTACTGGGGATAGCGTCTGCAACTCCTGGCATGTGCTCTTGACCGAAAGCGAACCCGGGACCCTTCAGTTGGCAGGCAGACGCTCTATCCACTGAGCAAAACCACCTAGGGCTGTAGAATTTTTAAAAGGGTTGTATGTTTCATACATTTTGAATTAAAATGTCCCCCCCACCCCAAAATAAAACCTATACAGGATCACTCTCCCCTATAAATATTGGCCTTTTCTATGAACCCTATTTCAAATTGAGAGTGGCATTTACATGTCAAGATGTGCAGGCACAAGTTTGTGTAGAACCTGCAACTTCATTATGAAGCTTCCTCAACACAATAGAGGATTTAGTATTTTTACTCTGACCAGTTTAAACAACACAAGGAGGTCGGCACGTTTTAATAAACCTAACGTGTTTCATTGTTCTGAAAACAGTGAGAGTGATGGTGACCCTAGCATTTGATCACCCAGGCTCCTGACTTTATGCTCATTACTGTTGGCTAATTTGATAGTTGCTTGTTCAACATGCACCTCCCAGGGGATGATCAGGTGCTGCAAAAATAGCAAATTCTAGGCAGAAGACTTTGCTTCCATTAGCACTTCTGGTACAAGGGTTAGAGGGGCTTAAAGAGGAGAGTTAGTAGAGACAATAAAATGAAGGAGTGCGTTCCCTGTGGATTTCACCTACTTTGTTAAGACTGGTCCCTCCTTACTGGAGGCTAACGAGGGAGACTAGACCATGACTTGTGGTAGCTGGTGGACACTTTCAAAAACTACAGTGATGTTCTCCAATACTTTTATTATCTCCAGTTTTATGGCACCATATTACTATTATTTTCACACCGTTTAAAATTCCCATTTCCATAATTCAAATACCAAGAAATTACTACACATTCCCGTATACAGTCAAAAATAGATTTACTGGAATGTTTTTAGTTACAGCTGAAGGCAGCAGCATTTACAACACTTAGCTTTTGTTATACCCATAAACGTGGAAATTGCTTGCAAAGCAACTGTAATGTGAGAAGAATCTTCCGAATGTTGATGGAACAGCTACATAGGCTTCCTGACCCCCCACCTTAATGCCAGAGCCCAAGTCCTTAAGCCACGGAAGAAGCAGTCGGAAGTCTCGTATCAGTGTTGAACTACAGACACACATAGTGAATGAGCAAATATCTAGTTTCAAATCAGATCCTTGGAATGTGGCAAAACAGGCTGGCTGTCTTGGCCTTGAACATAATTATTAAAAGCATTTTCATTTTGCTAGAAGGGGAAAAAGATAATGGACATTCTCAATGCTCCAGTTTGAAGTGATACTTGCCTCTCAGTTTCTTGGAAAAGAAGTTTTGAAAGTTATATACATGGGTTTCATTTAAATTATGCAGCAATCTTTTATTATTATTATTATTGTCCCAGATTTTGTTTAATGAAGATCTCTCTCATCAAATCAAGTGCGGTATTTCACAACTGTAAGTACTGCAAGAGAAAAACACGAAAAAGGAACAAGTCAAAATCATATCCACAAGCCATGTCAGACATAATACTCTTAAATGCGGCTGTGTCCACTTGGGAAGCAGGTAATGAAGACTGAATTTTGGGCTGAAAGGACAGATAACAAACGAGAACGGAGAAGCTAAAATAATCATAAAATCACCTGAATGTCTAACATTGGCATTTTGACTAAACAGATTATGGCTGAACCTTAGCATACAGCTGCTAAAATATTTTAAAAATAAGTAACATGAGAAAATATAACATATTAATAAGAAAGTCTGTATGTAATCTTAGTTTTTTAAAAACATGTTTATATGTTAGTATGAAAAGGCTTGAAATATATATGATAGTTATGTTAACAGTAGCTATCACTATGTGGAAAATCACAGTTGAATTGTATCTTTTTCATGCTATTCCACATTTTCTAGTTTTCCGAGGACAAGCAGGAAGTTCTGAGACGCCCTAAATTATGTCCCAGCAGGACAGCAGGGACAGAGGAGATGGTTAGTTGGTGGGTAGCTGCGGGTGGTTCAGACTTCATACCCAGGACCTGGTCTTCTCCTGGCTAGCACTTGCTTTAACAAACCCTTTCAACCATGGAAGTTTTTTTTAACATATCTTGTCAAGAGTGGAATTCGATCTGTCCAAGGAGCAGAAAAGAATGTGACTCCCCCGAGACGAGTGTGGTGCTCACACCTTGAGGCTGATGTGCATAGCTTTACTGGGCCTCAACAAAAATCCCTAAGAGGCCGTCTTAGAGATGTACCTCATGGAAGGGGTTCCCTCATCTGACTGGTGAGTTATAAGGGACACCCTCAAGTCAGTTTTTTTATTATGATGTTATTCACCAATATGTCTTTGTTTTTTACTTTCATTTGGGGGTGAGAGGGGAACTGAGCTTATAGTGACATCTTGTGGCCATTTGATGAAATTACAGCTTGGGTTCTCATGGCGGACCAACGCCATTAGATTATTTCTCTGAAATTATAAAATGGTGATTTCCACTCCAAAGAAGAGAGACCATCGCTACTTCTGGTCCCTCAGGGGTGTTTCCAGGTGATGAGAAACCTTTGCAGAAATGTCTACTTATTGTCTGAGATATGTAGCTGTCTCACAGGGTCCCCAACAGAAAAACATACTCCCTGTTTTAGGGTTAGAAGGAACATTTCTGACTTATCTGGTACACACAAGGGCTTGGTCACCCAAGTACTCCAGCCCCCCTGAATACTGTGTAGTGCCCAGGCTCCTCTGAGTCATATAAGAGAGGAGCCACCAACCTAGGAGCGGCACTCACATTTCAGACCCAAAACAATTCCTTGGCCTTGGTTGATCAAGAACAAAATTTTTAAATTATGGGAAGTCAAAACCCCAGAACCTCCCCCAAACCCTCTGTAGAAACCTGGACCAGTGCTATAAGTATAACAAATATGGGGCTGAATCGTGCATGTTTTTATCTAAAAGGGACTCTGAAACATTTCAAAGAAAATGTCTCTTTACAAAAGGGGAAATTAAACTAATCAGGCCCATTTGCTATATTAAAATTACATGGGAAGCAGAAAGCACTGTCAAAAAAATACCTGTGGTATTTGTATGCATATATTATTAAAATGAATGTTTTTTGAAATTATATATAAGATTTCCAAGAATCTACAATGTCCTGTTATCATTTGCAATTCTAGTTATCTTAAATGTGAGTTGCAGAGAAAAGCACATTTCTTTGTCAGTTGTGCTGTAATCGGATCTCTGACCATGTCATTTCAGTCTTTGTTATTCACACTGGTAACATTGCTAGTGATGCTGCTGCCTCCGTGAAGCACAACAAAGAGCCTGTCCCTCCAGGACAGGGGACTTGACTTCTGCTCCAGCCCTGCTGCCGGTTCAGACTTCATGCCCAGGGCCCAGTCCTTTCCTGGCTAGCACGTGGCTCAACAAACCCTTTCTTTGTTTGGCTGTGGCAGTTTCCTGTTTATCACCACCATAGTGTATGGTTGCATCTTGGTATCTGCAGTAGTTACGTTCTATAAAGTCTCCACCAACACTGAATTAGTGAACACTGACCCATTGCTCCTACAGGAAATACAGGGTTAAATTCCTGCAAGCCCCTGGGCACAACATTTTGTCAACTGATCAATACATAGACACGCTATGTAATATATGCTATTGAATTCATGGCTGATAGCATGGTGACCGAGACCTAAGTGAAGCCTATCAAACGGTCCATTTTCTCCTTCCAGCACATCCCAGCCTGCCTGCACTCAGCAATACGGACACTTCACTGCACTTGGGGCCATGCTAAACAGTGAGACCACCAACGAAGTGCACAACTGCGAGAAACATGGCGCTCACCAGAGGACCTTGTTTACACTGTGAGAGCAACACTAGAAGACGCACATGCACACACACGTCAGACATCAGCTGGGAATGTGCGCCTCAGGGACTCAAAGTTTTCACTGCTCTGAATGCAATGACTGTAAACGCAGCTCAAGTACTGAGGTGGGTAACAGGTAAATTCACAAACCCAGAATCCACCCATATGGGTGAGGATCGACTCAATTTCTTTGCAACAAAACTCTTTTCTCTTTAAAAAGAGAATATTACCATGGAATTTTTCAAATGATTATTTTGAGACACTTTCCAAATCTTCATAAAGTCCCTGCAAACACAGGGAAAGAGGCCTTGGAGAAAATGAGATATCAAAAATGATCTTACTTTAAAAGAATATTAAGGATATTAATGACTGAAATCAAGCTCAAATCCAAAACAGAAACAAAAAAAACATTCATCTGAAGAGCTTATCTAGATCTGTCCTTCAAACAATACTAAGAAATGCAAGCTGCCATTCCTTTTGGTTGATAATAAGCAGAAGATGAGTGCTGTGGCCCTGGCGTAACAGTAGCCATATTTGGCCTCAAACAAAGCACTTAGCCCTGTGTTTGCATACCATTTAGGAGCATTTTCAGAGATCACAGGCTAAGAGCTCTCGACTGAAATCATTTCTCGGTCAGAAATCATTACTCAATCCTGACAGTCAGACCACATCAACTGAAAACAAATTTAAAAAGGGAATTAAAATGAACCCCAGAACAAATGATACTCCCCAAAATTAACAATCCAGGAAATACTTACTGATGATCACCAACAAAAGGATGACAACAACCAACGCCATGATGGCTTTTATCTACAACACACAAAAAGCATAAGAAAGATATTAATATTAATCCTGACTTTTTTCGACTATCTGTTGTTATTTACCATATTATACTAACTCATCAGTGAACAGGCTAATCCCTTAAAAGGCTTTCAAAATAGAATTTTTCATATGAACTTGCTATTTGCATCTTTTTGTGAATAATCAGGGTTCCCCCAATTTAAGGGTTTTGCTTGCCCAGAATTTTCTGTTCAAGACTCACTGCCCAGTGGACAGTAATCAAAGTCTCCATGGACCTGGACTTCTTGTCTATGATTTCTTGCTCTCACTTCTAATATGAGACCAGGAAAAGTACGGCATTTTACCAACTCTGTTAAAAAGCTGAACCAGGATAGGACAAACAGCACCGGCATCCAACACAAATGATTTCATACACACAGTACAAGGCAGCACGTCTGTAGCCTTGCTCAAAGGATATGAGAATTCTGTTTTGGCTCCCCTTACTTTCTTCTTGGCACTTTTATCTCTGTTTGAGGAAGGGAACTTAGATTCTCCATGAATAACCTTATGTGATAAATAGTGTGGCTGAGAGCATTCTCTGTGTCAGTTTGACAGTTGTGGAGAAATTTTAAGGTTAGTCCTTAGTGAACTGACTAAAATTTTAAGTTCACATCATTTCTCTCACAAAACACCACGCGTGGGCGCGCATGTACAGTGCGATTGAAACTTCTTGAAACTTCGTGGCCTATGCGCAGAAGTCGGTATTTTGTGGAAGAGCCACACTCAAGGGGCCAAAGAGCCGCATGTTGCTCGAGAGCCGCAGTTTGCCGACCACTGCTATAGGCTGCTCCACAACATGCTAATAATAAATTCTAAGAGAAACTAGTATTTCTTATAAGTTCAGGTAGCACATTATTAATAAAATGTAACTATGAAGAATTCCATGGAAACAACTTTTTAAGCACTGTTTGATTCCTTTAGTTATTTCTGTTCCCAAACTATTAATCACTCAGCAAGTATTAACGGAGTTTGGCCCAGGCTCAGGAGACATAATGGAAAGTGAGGCAGCCATAGTATCTGTCCTCACTGAGTTTATAATCCGGGGCCTTTCCTTCTGGACTCTGAACAGCACGCAGGTGCTGACCAATCTTCCCATGAGCTTCTGATTTACTCACTTTGCATCCACGCCACCACATCTGCCGCCGGAGTTGTTTGGATCTGTTGCTAAAAGCAGTTGCGTTATCCGATAAGCTTTCTATATCACATAGAGGATGGAGAGAAGGATTAAACGACATAACAGGATTCTTTTATCTAGTCACACAAAGACAAGAAAATATTAATTTCTACTTCTGCAAATTTATTCCCTTTTAAGCATGAAAACAACACCCTCCTTTTCCTCCACCCAAAAACTTTGACATTCTGTATTGTAAAAAAAAAAATCAAAAAGCAAAAAACTGCTGCAGGTCAGTTTGTTCAATCCGTATTTATAACATTAAGAAAAGTCTTTCCAGGGCCTTAAGCCTTTCAAACAAACTTATGAATTCTGGGAAGAAAATACTCTTTAGGTACTTGGGGGCGGGGGTTGGCTAGAAAGGGTCAATGGGGGAAAAGGGTACATCTGTACTACATTCAACAATAAAGATAAATTTTAAAAAGTAAATTTAAAAAATTCAAGTACTTGGCACATCTACAGAAAAAATTGACATGTGAAAGTTACATTCTTAGAAGACCAAAAAGTGACTGATTTAGAAGCAAAAAAATATGAATTTTAAAAGTGATTAAATAAGTTTTTCTTTAAACAACTCTATGAAGGATTAATCATATATTCAGCTAATCATTAGTTAAACAACATCTGAGTACCTATTATAGGCACAGAGGCTAACATGTTACCAGAGGAAGAAAAGATAAAACTATCAGATACATTTGAAATAAGTGTTGACATGATTAGACCTCTCCTGGAGATGAGAAATACAAAGGACATCAATGTAACAGGAAAAAGAAAAACACGCCACTCTAACTCTTCAACAATGAATTTTTAAATTTTCCATTCTCAACTGATCACTTGAAGAAATAATACAAGACGATTTAAAGTAAAGGAAGCTAAAGTGAAAACGTTACAGTCACCAGTTAAGAACCAAATACTATTTTACTAAGTCACATGTTCCTAAACTTCAGCTAGAAAAAAATGGGAGAAGTACACTATTAAAACATAGGTTAATAATTTCAAGAAAAATATAAAATATCTGTACCTGATTTGTCCTGTAGTTCATCTAGTCTCTCCCCTCTTTCAATTACCTTTGTAATATTTTCTTGCATGACATCAATAACTTCATCCACCTGATTCTGAACACTAGTTTAAAAAAAAGATTAACAATATTTATTTTTCTCTTGAGGATTTTATAATTTTTGAAACTTTCATTAGACATGAAAGAAAATAGCAAATTTTCAGAATTATTCAACTATGAAATGTTAAGGTACTGCAGAATTTAGTCAAATAGCTTGACTCTGACCTATCAGCTTCATCTTCTTTTCAGCAGGAAGCTGAGGCATCACACGGACACAGCTGTAACCTAAGTCTGCTGTATAGTTCACACACTAGGACTAACGAAGGAGTCTGCCCAAGTATGTTAGGAGCTCATGAAAACACCGTTCCCCAAATGGAAATGTAAGGTCTGCTCCTGGACACTGACACTCAATGGGTAAAACTCCTTTCTTCACTGCTCCTTGGTTTTCACTTAAACAGTGTTTAAGACACTGGCAATACCTGGGAAGGTCTGAAGCACCCACAATGGAGCAACTCGGAAAACCTTCATGTTTGTTGATCTTCAGAATAAAAATATGATTTCCTCCTTTATATCAGGTGATGAGGGCCTGTTCTATCCAAATTTTAGGCTGTTCAATGAAGGTTTAATATATATTCAAAAATTTAATGACTGGCTTTCAGCTGCCTACTCTCACTCTGGAGTACATCAACACAGACGTGTTCACTATTTTAAGTGTCTACTTTTCCTCTGTTGCTCCAATCATTAGGCAAAAACGACCTTATATTAATTTATGAAATAAGTCATGGTGACACCTCGATTTCAGGCCTTTGAGACCCTGTGCAGAGGGTCGGCTATGCAGGGACTGAGCTCCTGACCCATGGGAAACCTGAGATGACAGTTGTGTCCTGTTTTAGGCTGCTAATTGCAGGCCAATTTGTTACACAGCAACAGAAAATAAAAACACCCTGTCTAGAACTTGAATCAATTTCTTGGGACCTTGGTTCTATATTTCAGAATCCATGAGCTAGGATTAGGATAAGTGTGGACATATTTCTTCACACCAGCAGCTACCTGAGTAAAGTCCAAGTATCTCATAAAAAATGTGATACCCCGGAGGAACCAAGATGGCGGCATAGGTAAACACCCGAACTTGCTGTCTCGCACAACCACATCAAAACTACAATAAAAGAAAAAGCGGATATCATCCAGAACCACAGGAAGGCTGGCTGAGTGGAAGTTCTACAACAAGAAGGAAAGAGAAAAGTGCATCTAGACTGGGAGGAGGTGCAGAGGTGCGGAAGAGCGAAGGTATGGAGGCTGGCAGCTGGGTACACTGTGGTCTTTTTCAATTGGGAGGAAGATACAAACTCCTGACTGCTCTGAACTCCAGTACCAGGTGAGACTCTGGGGACCCAAACTCATATGGGGAGAAACTGGACTATCTGGCATCGGGCCGGAACACAAGGGCAGCTTTCTCGCAGAGGTGGTCGCAGCGTTCATTGTTCCTGCATGGGGCCACGGGACACAGAGACCCAGGGACCTATAAGGGGCAGGGCCAATGGGCAACCATTGCTATTTGCACCACCCTGTGATTTCCTGAGACCACCCTCCACCCAATTTACAACTCCACCCAAGCTGTGCGCAGAGGCGTTTGCATATGAATGGCCTGGCCTTTTGCAACCTAATCTAACAAACTACAGCTGGGTCAAAGAACCCCAGAGCTTCCAAAAGAAAGCCTAAGGCTCATCAGCAGCCTGCATTGCTTCACAGCTGTGCCTCATCTGGGCACCTCCAAACCCCAAA